ACAGAGAGGAGTCCTTGAGCAAGTTAGCGAGTGCTACCATAGTCTAACAAAACTGGACCTCTCACAAAATCCTTTAATGACTAGGCCAATCTTTATCAATTATACTTTTTCCATATCCCATTGTTGGTTACTATTAACAGTCTTGGAATATGCACTGTTTGTCTCCTGGTGGATGTCAAAGACTGGCAAACACTAGGCTCCAGGAAAACCTGTAGAAATCAGCCAGTCTGTTTAGAACTGACTATTGGTAGATTATTGCCTCACAGCACGGGAATTCCCCCTGGATCAAGTCCCAGCTGAGCTTGCAGGACTTGGTGGAGTTTGCATGTTGCATAATGTAGTGTTGACATGGGTTTTACCCGGGGGTGGGGTTTCCTCCTAGGGGATTTAGCACTGGCACCACCAGTAGAAACTCTGAAGTGGCATAAGCCAGCCAACAGTGACATCATGTTTCAACAAAGTCAACTGCTGGAGAATGAGGAATGGCGTGATCAGAGCTGTGTTTTTTGTAGTGGCGTGGTTAGAGAGGTGTGAATCTTGTATCACTATTTATTTGGTTAGATTATAAAATCATTTTCAATGCATCACAATGCACGAGTAATGCAACAAGATCTTTCTCATAGCATATTGTGCTTGATAACTTTTTATTTTATTTTAAAGAAAGCAAGAAAGAAAAGAAAGAAAAAAATCCAGAAAAACCGAAACATCTGACAAAATTGTTTTCCTTCCAAAGGACATGTGCAACTATAAAAGTACAATATTTACAGTAAAACAATGCATTTATATGCATGATAGGCCTTTAATACTTTTTTAAAAATTTATGATTTTGTTTTCATGCATCGATGCAGAATCGTTCACATCAGCATCACATTGTAAAAAAGATTATATTCTACAGTTCTAGTCGTGTTTTTTGTGATAACGGAGATGGAAAGGAGTAGGCCTATTTTCAGATGTTTCCAGATGTGGTTTCTTTTGTTGAAACCAAGTGTTTTGGAACCATCAGGGATCAGCAGTGGCTGACACCGTGTCTACACCGGATGCGAGCGGCGCGGTGCGACTAAATATATAATTTAACCCATTATAATCAGTGATGCTGTCTACACTTGATGTGGCACGACACGACAAATCCCCGACAGTAAACTGGTGCCTTGTTGTATTTATGACGTGCTGACACAAAGTTCAAATGATTTTCAACAGTCGCTTTGTCGCGTCCAGTGTGGACAGACTTTAGCTGTTGCAAAAAAGATTATATTCTACAGTTCTAGTCGTGTTTTTTGTGATAACGGAGATGGAAAGGAGTAGGCCTATTTTCAGATGTTTCCAGATGTGGTTTCTTTTGTTGAAACCAAGTGTTTTGGAACCATCAGGGATCAGCAGTGGCTGACACCGTGTCTACACCGGATGCGAGCGGCGCGGTGCGACTAAATATATAATTTAACCCATTATAATCAGTGATGCTGTCTACACTTGATGTGGCACGACACGACAAATCCCCGACAGTAAACTGGTGCCTTGTTGTATTTATGACGTGCTGACACAAAGTTCAAATGATTTTCAACAGTCGCTTTGTCGCGTCCAGTGTGGACAGACTTTAGCTGTTGCGACACAACAATTGTGTAGACAGTTTGTGTAGACGGTGCGAGTCAAGATAGATTTTTTTTTGGTAACAACAGATAAACCTTCCCTATAATAATTACAAAGGCAACTGATGCAAGACTCTGCAATCTTTTTTGACGTCAAAAGTTTGATGACCACTTGCAATGACTCATACATACCAAACTGATAACAAAAGGCAAGCTGAACAGCCAGTCAAACCTCTCACAGACAGGCTCCGCAGCTGAATCATCACGCTCAGTAAGTCAGCCAAGTTGTCACCCTCAGTCCTCGTGCAAACCATGCAGAACAGAAAAACTAGGCTGACTAGGCTCAGCATAAGCCGATGGCTTTGACCGATGTCCAATCAATGGCTTGGTATATATAATTACATTATCTGATTTGATTAGGCTATCTGATTATTACATCATCTAATTTACATTATCTGAACAGTTCAGAAATATCTGTTAATCTACTGCATAAACAGATTTTCTTTCAGTAAAACCACAAAGTCCTTTATCAAAACATGATCTGCCTTTTTCCAGTAAAGAAATCTAGAAACTGTTCACTCCCGCTGAGATTAATTTCAGTGCTTCTTAAGTGAAAAAAGATCTCCATGGCTCAGGAACAGGGCTTAGGGCGGATGTTGCATAGACTGTAGCCTAGGGGCCACACGATCAGCGGCAGTACGTCGCAAGGGCTTTGCCAAGTGTGCGACCGCATGCTCCTGGCCTGCATTTCATGTCATTTATGTCTAAATTTATTAGTTTTTCCACATATTTTGCCCTTCTAAAGACTAAAATAGTCATAGCTGATAGACAGTATAAGACTCAGTGTATAAGAATGAGTAAAGCTGTTTGTTGTTAGGATGACAAAAAGTTTTAAAAGTTACACTTTTAGGCTGGTCTGCCTCGTGATCCAACAGCGCTCGTCAATGTCAAAATGATTGAGATGGCCAATCAAATCAAAGAAGGCAGGTCTTACTGTCACAATGCAACGAGAGTTTGTGGACAGATTTAAATAGTACTGTATTAGAAAACTGTTTTACGATAGAAATGTTCAGCGACCGACAGTAATAGACTATCTAGTGATGCAAACTACTCAACTTTTTATGAAATTTCGCCATTTTGAATTGAAAAATGCGATCATGATTCATGTAAATAATAGCCTAAATGAACGTGACAAGAGACATTTGCGTTTTCGACTATTAGACATACGAATAAGAGTGAATGTGCACATTTTAAAATAAAATATTATTTTCAAATAGTGTAAATTGATTACTACTTCATATTTAACTACAAACCTAGAACTTATTTTAGCATTCTTATTAACTTATTCCCTTAAATCCCTTTTAATCATTTAATTATTTAATTGCTTTATTATTATTATTATGCAGTAGATCTTACAGTTCTTATGAGCATGTGCGTGACCGTGATTTGTGCGCAAGTATGTCAGTGAGCACGGCATCACAATCGATCAGATGTGTGTTCAAAATGCATTCGTTACTATAGCACCCCCCCCAGAGGGCCTCGCACGTCAACTTTGCACTGGGCCTCACACCCCCCTTGCGACGGCCCTGATCAGCGGTATACTGTTGCCTCACTGCCTTATTCGCTGCCTGTTCTTTTCGGTAAATTTGACAATGCTCAACACCATTGGATCAGTGCCCTGTCAATGATTTGGCAATGTAATTTTTTATTATTTTTTTGCCAATAAAGCAACTTAAACCTCAATTTGTAAATCGCTGATCATTTTGCGATGCAGGATTTTTCAAAAAAGGAGGAGAGACCACAGACCAGAGCTCTGTTCATGGTATGCAAACACTCAGTTGTACTGAAATATAGTTACACTGAGTCAATATTCATATTACTTTTGTGATCAAGCTATAGCTAACAAAATGCTTTTGTCTGTGTCCAGATTTGACTGCAATAATAATGTATATAAAGTAATAATGTAAAATTGACACCACAAATGAACTTAACAATTTAAAAAATAATCATAATAAAAAAAACAATCATTAAAAAAATTACGAGGGGATACACACCAACAATGATATATTTAAATATCATTTTAAATAATATTTATATATTTAAATAGCCATTTAGCAGTTACACCATGGTATTATTATCATCAGTGTTGGGGAAAGTTACTTTTAAAAGTAATGCATTACAATTTTGCGTTACTCCATAAAAAAGTAACTAATTACGTTAATTAGTTACTTTTTATGGAAAGTAATGCGTTATATTACTTTTGCGTTACTTTCGCATTACTTTTTAAATATAAGCAGGGCTTGATTGTTTTTAATATAAGAAGTTCTATTTATAGCAAATATAAAAGCCCTTTCACACCAAAAAGTGTAATGAATAAACCTCAGGCTGAAGCAAAAGTAAATTCACGTCTGTACAGTAGAACGCAGGAGAAGAAACACTCTTCAGCAATAAAAAAACAATGAAGCACAATTGTTAGTTTCTCTAAAGTCATTTTTGCTTATTAGTATGGATCATCAAAGGTCAGCAGCAAAGATATTGCTTAATAAAATGGGATTAGATACATTTGTGTTATTTAACATATTTAATTATTGCAGGTTTGCGTCATATTCTGAGTTTGCATTTCACTGTTTTAATTCATTTTGATGAATACTAAATCTGTTTTTTGTGAGTGGGATGAATTAATGCACATTCACATTTAGTCTAGAACTACAGTAACATCATGTTCACACAGCGCACACAACTCCTCTGCACTTCTGATATCTCCCAGTATAGGGACAGGAGACTTGTCAGTCAATAAATGGGAAAACAAAGTAACTGGCGTTACTTTTTTGAAAAAGTAACTCCAATATTTTCTTGTAAATTAAAAAAGTAATGCGTTATTTTACTAGTTACTTGAAAAAAGTAATCCGATTTCGTAACTTGCATTACTTGTAATGAGTTACCCCCAACACTGATTATCATTACCATGATATTTATTTCATCACTAATATTTATTATGAGTATTAGTGATACAACATACGAGCCATGCGCATGTGTTTGTATTTGATGTGCATGTGGGAGTGCTTGGTTGGGAACCAATGGTGATTAAACATGATTAAACAATGCTAAATGGAAGCATGCCAGCAAACAACTTACAGTATAACAGTAAAACATTCCAGAGATCATTACGAAGTGTGATGATATGGATCTCAGCGACTGTGCAGTTCACTAATCAACCCCGCATGCAATGATGCTGGTATAGCGAAACATCAGCCAATGAAAAATATGAATGCTGTTATCATGCCCGTACTTGTTACTTACTTTATGTGCTTTTGGACATCACAATCTGTGGTCCTTCCTTACTTATGATGCAGCCTGAGGGGCGGAGCAAAAGTGTTATTTTGGGATGCATAAATTCTCATCCTTGGGATATTCAAGCTTTACTGAACAAGGATACACTATGGAGATCTACACATCAGCTGCATGTATGACAGCACATTTGTAAAGTTTTGGTTAACTTTATTGGAGAATAATGTATTTATTTTGTAAGTGATATTTTAGAACTTATATTGTATTTTTTTATTGCAGGTTTAGTAACAGTCTTGTGCAGTTTTGCCACATCCTCTGCAAAGGGTAAGGAAACACAAAAAGTATACTTTTATTATACTTTTATATACTAGACATATTCGTTTACTAGTTTTATTTAGTGTCAGCTAATGTTGTCATTTAAAAGAGTGGTCATTGAAACAAAACAAAAAAATTAAGTTAATAACTCATAAATATCAGTGGTGTTATTCAAATTTTCTAAATATGATTCCAAAATTGTTATTAACTAATTAATGTAGAGGTACAAAAGAGTAGACGAACAAACTCTTGTGTTTATGCGCGCGTTTTTAAGTGTTTTTTCTTCTTCTTCTTCGGAGGCGGAGACTGAGCTTGCTCTTGAGCCATGCACGCAGTTAGTGAGAGGAAAGAAGTAGCTGCAGATGAAGCGCGCTCAGAGTAGCCCAAACTGTTAAAAACTGTTGCGTTATCTGAAAACTTAGCAATTACAGAAAGGCACTGAACAAGGAACTAACAGAGCACAGAACTTTTACACATCCACCCAGATTGGATACCACTTTGACTGGGCGGCGAGGGACAGTATTTTGATGACCGTGGTAGTGTAGCAATTGATTAGTCTTCATTTGAGATTTAGACGGTTGCTATGACATGCTAGGCATTAATACTATTACGCATCAGTATGTCGCGGGCCGAGGGGGAAAAAACTGTATGCTACTGTATGTTACATTGTGTCTACACCGGGCGTGAGCGACGCGACAATAATCATTGATACAGTGGAAGCGGCGCGGAACGACAGACAAATCCCCGACAGTAAACTGAAGCCCCGTTCTCTCTCATGTACTCCAAGCACTGCGCTACTTCTGACACGAAGAACAAATGCATTTGCAATGGTCGTTTGGTCGCGTCCGGGGTAGAGACGGTGGTAGTTTACAGACTTTTGGCTTCAATTGTGTTATGAATTCCGTTGTTTTACTTTCTGTTTTGTTGAATGTGATGCTGGGCAGAGTCTCGGAGTTAAATAGGGCTCACTGGAGGACTGTATGTTGTTTTTATTTCTAACAAATGCAGTGCAGAAAAGTTTAATAACACAACTGTCTTAACCCCAATAAAAATTACAAAAGAGGAGAAACATGAGTGGGAAATTGTATTCATAACGTGTGGAGAGGTCTTTTTCGTGCTTTGGCAATTTTTGCAGTGATAGGCCTAGTGGATGATGTTGGTGGTAGGCATAAGTTTAGCAAGTGGTTTTTAGTAGAATTCAGATCTTTTTTCAGAAACATAAGGAGTGTAATAGCATCAGTGCCATCCAATGACATACTGTGTAGTAACAAACATTTATAAATAAAGAAAATACATTATATTTGTGTATCAGCAGGCACAAGAGAGTATGAATGAACTTGTACAAAAATTTACTTTACCATGGCTTTAGGTTAAAGGTATAGTTCACCTAAAATTGGCAATACTCCCATCATTTAATGATCATCAATTCATTACACTGCATGATGTACTTCTGGTTGGTTCAAACTGTTTATCCATTCAATAAAACTTATACAAATTATTTTGGACCCCACTGACTTCCATTCTATGAACAGATAAAAAACTTACTGTGACATTTTTCATGCATGTGTCGAACAACATGAGGGTTAGTGAATTATGACCCTTAAAAGTCCAAATGTATTTAACAACCCCTTTTTTTCAACCCCTTTTCTTACTATAAATGTAGGGGGTGGTTTGTTCTTTTGTGTCAGAAATTGTGAAAAGTGGGTGTTACATACCAGAATGGAGCCAGATATGGAAGTGGAGGGTTTAAAATCTATAAATCATGTGCCGCTTATCATCCCATTCTTCGAAGCCATTATGATGATGTGAGCAAAAAGAAAGCAATTTCATCAGATCAAGGGCAGATCAAAGTTACTACAAATACTTTTCACTGATTAACCATTCACATAAGACCAGAAACTTCTATTAGGTCAGTGTCATATTCATGTTGACTTTAATCTTTATAGCATTTAGAGTTGTCTTACCCACAGGAGAGTAGTTATCGCTTTTAGAACCACTAGTTACCACTCATTTTTCATAATCTCTTTGTTCCTCAGAAATCTGCCATCATGACAGAGGGAGCCAGTGAGTGACCTTACACAGAGCCTTAACTCTGAGCCTCTAAACACAGTTGCATTTTTTCATTCATTATTACATATGTTTTATCATAGATCACTTAAAAGTAAATTAACAGAATGTGTTGGTAAGAGTAGGAGTGATCTGTATTGTTTATGTCAGCAGCAACGCAGGTTTCAGTGGACAGATGAAAGGCAGCCATCATCTGCACTGGTGTGGAAATGTGTCTTACAATATCTCAGGAAGTTCCTGCTGTAATGGTAGGAGAGACTCCTGCAGCTTTTGGTTTGTGGTTGCTGAGTCATGGAGAGTAGAGGATGTGATTCACAATGGGTTTATGACATATACAAACATTGAACACTGTTTTAGATTGTATATTAATATGTTGCAGGTACTATAACTCTGGGATTAAGCCAGCTGGTGGCTGACTGCTGTGGTTCTGTAGCTTACAATCCACTTAATGAGATTTGCTGTGATGGCAGGATTCTGACTCGAAGCAGCACTTACGCGAAATGCTGTAGCAGAGGTAAGCGATCCACTTTATACACCTTGATGGCATTGTCCAGATTTGACACATGTTTGCATGCTTAAGAAATTTTGATGAGATTGGTTGATCTTCATACAGTTAGCTCAAGGTTGACGTTTTATAATGAGTTTTCTCTTACACTTATTTACAGACGTGTACTTGACAACCACTCATTTGTGTTGTGGTAAAAACAACATATTTCAACGGAAGGAAAATCATTCTTGTTGTGGCAATGAAACATATGACATGACAACCCACTGCTGCTGTACTAACCCTGCACTAGAAGTAAAGCCTAAAAATGAAACTTGCTGTTCAAAAGCAACAGGTGTGTGTATTCAGCTCTTACAGTGATTATTAGATAAATAATTAAAGAAATATGGTGGAACAGTGATAAACAGGAACAAAGACATAATGTACTGTAATCTTTCATGTTTTTAGTATAAGTAATACATCTGCCATTTGTTTTAGTAGATCATAATCTGAATCTTATTCTCACAGATTCTCGTAAAAAAGCAGAAAGCCAGCAAGGTTCTCCTCCCACCCGGTGAGTCACAAAGACAGACAAAAATACTTCCTAGAGACAACATAAGTATAGGCAGTATTACAGTATTTAAATTATATGCAGTAGCACAGACCTCCGGGGGTCTCACACATTTTTTAATCCCACCTAATATTAATGTTTTTAAAATACTTTTACATTGCAATAATTTCACATTCAATCTTCAAATTAACGTAGAAACAACAAAGACAGTATATTTTTCATATTTGTATAATGGAATAATTTTTTATGACTGAAGGCAAGTATCACTGATACTACTGATATCTCTAGGAAATTGTTTTTTCCCCTAATATTTAACCATTGACTAGCCATTCAACATTACAAGAGCTGTTAATTTGAACATTTATTAGAATATTATTAAAATAACTTCTAATTTAAGTGAACTTAAAACAATCTTCACATAAACCATTATAATAAATGTCATATTTAGTTACCTGTGCATCTTCAGCAAGTAGGAAATATACAGAAATTGAATAAAGTTTTCAAACACTAAATTCTAAATTAAATATAGATTAATGCTTAAAGCTACAAAAGTGATTGATTTCCTCTTTTTTCTTTTGATCTTTGATTAATAGCAGCTGGTTATTAGGTTTTTAGGCTGCTATTTCTTTAAGAGCTGCCACTGCTAAATGTTCTGCGAATCTGACACGCATCTCTCTTGACCTATTCTGACCCACTTCAGGTCTTAAAGTCTCTACTACTTGAATTGAGTTGAACCGAGGGTGTTAGATAAGGGAGACAGTGCTGGGGTGCTCCAATACAGTTTGTAAAACCACTGCATTTCAGAGACATGTTCTTAAATGTGACTCGTATAACAAATACATTCATACACGCATAGTTTTAAGGCAGCTTTAATTGCCTTTTTGGTAACTTCATAACTTAACTGATGACATAACTACGGCATTTGATATGAAATGATACAGTCTACAGTGCGCGATGACGCATTTCTTCTCAAAAATGAGACAGAAACAGCAGTTCTGAGTGGGATGCAGGGGCGGATCTAGAAAATATTTTTTAGGGTGCCATGGGGTCTATGAGTGGTGGCAACACCAAAGCAAGCCCCCATGCATAGTTTTGGGGGATTTATGGTCTGACATACACAGTGTTCACAAATATTGTATTACCATTAAGTAATCATCTATGGCCTACTGTTAACATTTTTTAATATATAACAACATTTCAATATCCATCATGGCACCAAGTCAATACACAATATAAAAAAACTTCAACAGGTTATAAATGTTTCTGAGCTTGTATCAAATAAGACATGCGGTTCTATTAAAATTACATAGGCTATTTAGATGGTATAATCACGTTTAGTGCAAGTTTAAGAGCAACATAAACTTTTGAATTTCCTAACATTAGAAAAAAATACAATAATTTCAAAGCACTGAAACTGGATCAGTTTTGAAAACAATGTTTGATTTTCTGTTATTAACAGAGGTGGGAATGTTTGTAACCACCCAGAACAAACTCTATCAACCATATACTCTAGCAACACCCCAGCAACTGCATAGCAAGAGCCTAGCAACCACCCAGAATATCCTAGCAACCAACTAGCAACACTTTAGCAAACATCTAGAACATCTAACTGACCAAACCATTTACGTTTTTTTAAACAAGACTTTAAGACAAGCCAGCATAAATTTGTCTTTCAAACTTTTAAATCTAGTTATTACAGTTTTTCTTAAGTTTTTTTCAACTGCTTACAAGCATTTTCAAAACTTTGCCTCTTTTTTCAAAACTTTACACATAAAT